ATTATTATACATGTTTAATTATTACTATTATTATTTATATATTATATTTATAGTAAAAAACTAAAAAATGTAATTAGTTACAATTTTTTTTGGTTATAATTGATTTTTATAAATTACACTTATATTACAATTACAATTATTGTTTTAAAATAAAATATTCGTTTTCAGAAATGTATTCTATCTTAGCCTAACTATAACGAACAATGTAATTTTTAAAACTATATCGCATAGGGTTGCATTGCGAAACACTGGTACATCATTAAACCGCTGTTAAATATTACAAGGACACATTTAACTGCGTGACTTTTGTTTAATAATTAATCAAATTGAAATTAATTAAGAAGTTCTCATATCCCTATCTTTCGTGACTTTTTGGTAACAATTAAAATCACTTCTTTCGTTCAATCTTAATAGATCAATTTTGAATTATCGCAGTATTTATTTTATGGATGTTTTACTATAATTTACTTAATTGTTATAAATTCAAAAATCAAAACAATAGATTTGAATACATGCCTTCTAATTTAATTAAAAATACTATTATCTGACTAGCACTATAAAATATTACAACCATCTTGTTATTTTTAAATAAAAATACCTTCTTTATATTATATTTGTTTGCCCTTGCAAAATTATCCACCCGCAATCCTAAAATTAAAACAAATAGTAATAGCCAGCAGGCACAAAATATAATAATTCAATAACCTTATCAATTATTTCTTACAGAGATTTTATACTGCTTACAAGATAGAAAATAATAAATACTAAGTATGTTTTCAAATTTTAAAGCAATAATTATATTTTTTTAAATATTTAATTTTTATTTTAAAATTTTTTTATTAATAATCTTATAAGCCAATTTAAAACAATACTAATAATCAACCTTATATTAATAATAAACAATTTTTAAATAAAAATACAAATTACAATTATACTCGTGTAAAAAAATTAATTTTTACAATTAATATTTTACTAGATTATTAATTTATTTATATTATTCTTTTTAAATTTATTATTAGTGAGGTTGAAACTTTAAAAGTATAGCTAGCGTGTTTATTTTATATTTTTATATTTGAAAAATGGCTATGTAAGTTTTATTACATTATGTCTAAATATAATTTTCAATAATTGCTTTTCTCTTAGTTTCAAACACTAATTTTATCATATTAAAACAATTGATAGTTTATTGATAATTTAGTAAAATATGGTTAATTAACTAATATAAAGACGTTTTTCTAACACTGCAAGTAGGTATAAAGTTAGTTATGAATGTTTTACTTATTATATTTTTTAATAGTACTTAATATTCTAATTTTTACCTTTTTACAATTAAATTATTACATGGTATCCAATAACATTTTTTTTTTATTATCTTTTTTTAAGACTATATTTTATAAAACAAGGTTATTATAATAAATTCTAGTTATAATAGCTATCTTTAATGTTACGGAAGATATTTACCTATATAAGTTAATATCGTAAAAATTGATATTTGCTGAAAATATAAAAAGTTAATAAAATCATTCAATTGTCGAAACACCAAACTATAAATTTCAATTGTTATGAACATTTAAAACTCTAGTTTTATAAAACAGCGAGAACAATTAAGCTATGTAAGTTGTAGGTATGTCATTAATTTTTCGCGTCCTTGAGAAAAAAATTAATATTTTATAAGACGATGTACGCATTATGTATTTGTAAAACTGTGTTATACACGTTAAATCAAAACTTCCTGAACAATAAAAATCATTATCAAAAAGTGTCTTCCTTATTATTATGAAAATATGTCTTTTATAATAATATATAATGTTTACATTAATATGACAAGTAATTTATGACATTTCCTAATTACAGAATTATTGTAGAAGTAAATTCTTATAATAAATGGTAAACATCATGTTTTGTAAATTTTGAAATGTCTAAGTAGTTGCGGGTATACCGTATATGTCTATTTTATTTATTCTTAGTATTTTTAATTTCACCACAAATCATGGACATTTTAATAAATCCTTAACCTAGAAAACTCAATTAATCAATATGACGTCAGTTTTTACAAATTGAAATGATTTGCATTTTTTTATTTCTCCGACGCAGAATAAAACATATTCACTACACACAAAAGGAGATCCACCTCGATACATGAGCTTTATTGTAATCTACAAATATAACAATACGAAAAAAACTAATTATTTGCCATAGCAATGGCGTTCATTGTTGAAAAAAATACCTTTTTTAAAAAAAAAATATACTTAAATATTTTTATACCAAACGTATTTCAGAACTATTATAATAAATTAATGTTTGTTTTTAAGAAAAAATTCAGATTAATATCATCATATCAATGCTAATGTAAAAATTGCATTGACATCGCATTTTTTATTGCTATATATATATAATAAATGTACGATACGTATATGTGCCATATGTGTTTAAACGAGTAAATGAGTTATATTAATTTATTTAAAGTGCTTGTGAAACTTGTAAACATTATATAAGAATTATTATTCTTACTTTTTTTAAACGATTATTACGGATATTGAAGGTCATATCGTAGGTGCAATCAAAGGAAACTAATTCGTTATAATATATTGTGTATAATAGTATTGATACAGCACCAACATCGTATGCGAATAATAAAACACCATCATAGTTCTAGTACGTAGAATATCGTGTAGGTACGTATAATTTACATGTAGAACACTCATAACTATATTAATTCAATTAAAAAATAAGAGAATTAATTGTTGATTAACTGACTGTTTGTATATTTTATGACTACATATTTTACGTGCATAATAAATACAAAAAAAATATAATACCATTAACATTCCTACATATCATTATTAAAATTGAAAAAATATGTAAAAAAAGTATATTAAATTGAAAAATAATTAAAAAAACAAATATAATTTCTCGAATTATCTGGCATCATATTTTAAATTTGTAAATTAATAATCGGCTAATGATTCATATTTCATCGTCTTACGACAAATTTTTAAAAATGTTATTATTTTTTAACAGCGAATGAATTAATGTTAAAATAATTACATCTTGATCATGATACCAACTATCTTAAATAATAATTTTTTAATTTTAATCTTTTTATTCTCACTATCTATAAAATAATATTTACTAATAAGTGTAAGTGTATATAAAGATATTGATTTGATTGTGAATGAATGGAGTAACCAACAACCCTTTTATTGAAAGCATTTGGATATAAAATAAAAACTGTTATGGACAAAGCCTAAATGATACATCATTGTACTCAGCGCAGAATCTAAATAAGAATAAGAATTTAAATTTAAATTTTATATTAATAGAGTTAAAATTAATTTACTTACATTAGTGCCTAATGATTAGTATAGTATAGAATTTTAAAAAATTAAGCTTTTCACGAAGTCCCATCAATGGATGGTCTCTTCTCTCATGCCCTCTGTCTGATCTGATATAAATAATTGTAATTATCAACCTGTTTGTTGTATTACCCTGTTATTTTGTCTTTTTTATACTTATTTTATTATCACTTGTGCTTATTATAAACCTTATCGTACAGATTTTACAATTTTCTTGATTAAAAAAAAAAAAAGTTGTGCGTACTATTTTTTATTCGTTTTCTAGTTTTATATATATTTTTTCTATATAGGTTTTTTATTTTAAATGTAATGATGTTTGTAAAGTTTATAAAATATAATTGTTTAATAACTTAACAATCTTAACTAAACAATTTAAAAAACCAATAGACGTTCAACTCTTATAGACCTCCTCTATAATTGGTGGTTACACAATGCACAATTATAGAAAGGATAAATTTTATAAATATTAAGAAAAATTTTATTCATTAAATAATTTTAAATAATTGCTGCACTAATCTCTGTTGATAATTTAAACAATAGTTACATTAAATTATTCATGTTCTTTCAATATAAGTTTATTATAATAAATTTAGTGTTCATATTTACTAATTAGTAGCTAACTACTAAATACTAATCACTATAAAAAATAAAAATATACCTATTAGTTTGACGGCTGTTACCTCCATAGTTAATTTAATATTTAAATAACTGTCCATATAATTATACATCGTGTTAAGTATTACCTTTGTTATATTTTGTTGATAATATGAAATATGCAAGCACTAAAAGGTGTTAATTATTATTTATTTTATAAATACTAAAATTAATTATTAATTATTATTAACTTATAGTGTGAATGAATACCTTAATATTGTTATCGTAAAGATATATAATAATATGATATTGAATAAAACATTATTATTTACGCCATTCCACTAAATTGCACGAGGTCTCGTGAAAGGTTACTCTAATGTAGTATATTATACGAAAGAACCTTTTAACGATACATTATCCATGTGCGTCATTATGTAAAATGGTCTTAACAAAATGCTTGCTATGAGACACTTGGACAGTTGGGTGTCTAATTTTAAATGCTAAATTAGCGTTTAATAAACAAATTAGTATGTCACATCAAAAGCATTAATTGATTGGTATGATTTACGAAATTAAATATACTTAAGAAATCAATGCCAAAAAACAAAACAATTAACATGCGAGACATAATATTAAAATAATAGGTGTCTACATAATATCGTTATTAAATTATCGTTATGTACTATTCTAATAAGGATGAATGAATTTTTGTGAACGTGTGTAAGTTTAGTAAATACCATATGTTTACAGAAGATAGGTATGAAGTGCTTAGTTTATACAAATTAAAATGATATTATTGTATTCAGTATTGTCATACATTCGTCAGTGTCCACAGTACCTGTACAACGAAATATACAAAACTAGAATATAAAACGCTAAACATTTAAACAGCATTCGTTGATATTAGGTTTTTGCACAATTCTCCGCTCAATCGAACTTTTACGTAGTTATTGCTTATTAATTATTAGTGTCTGTCCAATGTTCGATACATTATTTACTTAGTATACAACAAAGTAATCATAAATTAAAATTTTGGGATTTTTTTTTCAGTTATGTCCAGTGATGCGAACAGTCTCAACGATATATATCAGGGGTTCATTAACAGCAGCGCAAGTAAGTTTATCCTTATAATATACTTATTATTATTCACCATAATTTTCAGATATCATACCCATATTTATGCAATGTTAACACATAATAACTATATTATAACATGTAATAATATTAAATACGTTTATAAATATCATCATAATGACATAATGGCCACCCGCAAGTTATATAATACCGCGGGTACAACGTGTACCTTATAATTATTTGTGTCTGGCTAACGTTCAATTATTCGCCTATCTATGAGTATTATTCCCTACTATTTATCGGTAATTATATAAAATATATTGAATACTAATATCAGATTCGAGATTTTGTATACATAATGTAATATCATTGGTACACACTATTCATAATAAAATATTATACATATTAGGACTTCGGAACGGTGCAATATGATTTTAGTAATAATATTATACGGAGAATGTTATAATACATTTAAAATTTCGAACGAAAAAATTACAAATTTCAAATTCAAACTATGCTAGTAAAATAATGTTTGTACAAAGATTTCCCATTCTCGCGACAAAACCGTTCGTGATTCGTACTGCATGTCTATTATAATAGTTTATGCCTTAATAATAATTATTATTACTGGTCGCAATTATGAGTTGCGAAAATATGACCGCTAATAATAATAACAATAATTGATACCTACACGCAGAACCACTCGTACTCAAAGTTTTCATTTCGTAATGGATGGTACGAGTACGTTGGTCGTAATAACATATTATAACTGGCTTCTCGTCGGTGGCGTGTATATGGGTATTATAATATAATATTATGTACTGAAATATTGTAGACCGTTATTATAAAAATGAAACCGCGCTCACTTTATAATATAATATATTTTGTGTCGTTACAACGAACATATATGTTTAAAAAAATAATGTAATTTCTAACAAAGTTTTGCGTGAGAATTCAGTCTAGGCGTAAATTATTGGTGTAGGTAGTGTACATTATTAAGGACATAGCTGCAGCCTGGCAGACGAAAAAATATATTAAGGAACTACAGTGGCGTATTTACGGAGGGGAGGTGTCAAGGGAATAAATCCCCCCCATAGGCTGTATAAACACAAATAATTATGTTATCATATTATATAAAAAATTATTATTATTTTTTTTTTTTTTTTATCAATAATTGATTAAATTTGCAAGAATTAAAATATTATGATATATTGTATAATATTCTCATTGGTATCTTCATTTATAAAATCATATCCCCTCCCCATGATAAAAACCTAAATACGCCACTGAGGGACTATCTCGTTATGGCTTTTATCTAAAGAGGAACAATAAGATAATTTTAATTTCGTCGTCGCTGCTCAGGATATAATTGTTAGTAGTTATTGTATATTTGTGAGAATGAAGTTGAATGCTGGTACCTGCAAATGCCACTTTTTTAGTAAGCACCCTTTTAGTTTAAAAAATCTAAATAAAAATAACCTTCTTTGGTTTCAATTTTGATTAAAAAAAATTAAATTCGACAGAAAAATGTATATAGATTGTAAAAAACTCTTTATATTATTAATTTTTAATTTAATTACAATAATTATTTGATAAAAATCCATATTTTCAAGTTTTCAATTACTATTCAAAAATAAATAAAATTACATTTTTTCAAAGTGTTTCTTTGTTCCTTAATACGTATGATCTATAGACATTTTTCTGCCGAATTCAAATCTTTTTTTTTTTTAAATTAAAATCGGAAAACGTAAACTAACTTTAATTTTGTCATAAATTTTTGAATTAAAATCAACGGTAGTAACGAAGCTACTTTTAAGATTTTTTTTTATTATTATTTAACTGCTGTTGGTTTTTCGGTCTTATTTTAGACAAAGTCGCTTTATGCATGTTTTTTTACTGAGAACTCTATGATCTCTTAGGAATTATTTTGATTAAAATTAAATAGTGATCCAAAAGGACTCCCTGGCTGTCCATTGAGTTTTCTGTTCTTCGTTTTGTAAAATTTTAACTGAATGTATGTGCTCAACGGTTTTGAAATCGAAAACGGTCATTATTAGTATTTACTACGATACTTACCATAATTATAAACCGTTACGTGTCTCATCTGCAATAGTTGATAAGTAATAACAATAATATTGTAAGCACACACATATATATATACATATATATTAAAATAGATTGCTGACCATGTACTTAGTTAATATAATTAATATAATATTATATATCTATAATTATAAGTGATTGGAATATTTTTTGTAGGATGCATCAATTATATTATGCGAGCCGTATGGGTAGGCAACACAAACGACATTCCCACATGCATTTAATTTATCGGTGTATCCACGAGACTGATGAACAATGTGTAATATAATTATACTACCTGAAATATTATACTTTATTATATTTTAAATTAAATTTAAACATGTCGGATATTCGAAATAGACCACCACAACGTTATTTTTTTGAGAGTGGTGGCGACCGAATCGCAATTTTTGCCTAAACTATTTTGATGTATTTTGTTTGAATTTCATTTTATCTCCCACAATTATTTTAAAATAAATATTAATTTTAGTTGACGATTTCATATGTTGTGTGAATTTTGATTGATTTAATATCACAAGTTACAATGACGATATTGCACGATGTAAGTGCGTAACTACTTAAGAAATAAACTCCAATGCATATTTTTAAATAGTAATCATAAAGTTTTTAAATTGTAGATAATTATTGATTTTAATATTATTCATTATTATATGTTGTTATTTATTAATTTTTTTTTTTATAAACTTATTTTCATACTATTATTTTTAAATTTTAGCTATAATATGTTATAATTATTATAAAGAAAAAAACAAAACAATAATTTTTAAATGTTAAAAAAACAATTTCTTGGATTTTTATTATTTTTAAATGTCGCAATAAAAGCACTAAAACTACCCCCAACTTAGACGTAACTGAGAAGGGGCAGGTCCTCGGCCGACGGCCTAAATACGTCTCTGACTATTTTATGCTTCTGCGGAGATATAATACACGGGTAGTAATATAAAAATATATAATGGATAACCGCTAATGTTCAGATCGTTTATGTAGTACACGCTAATTACTTTACGCCATACATTATAGGTGTGTGACAAATAACGATGTTACGCAATAAAATTTCATAAACGAGTTAAACGACTTCGGGTACACTATAGGTAATAAGTACCTATTATATATACGTATATAATATTTATAATATAATATATCTTATAATATTATAATAAACTAGCGGAAGATCCACCGAAACACTGCAATGATTACGTAATGTCATACACCACGTTCACGAAAGATAAAGATGGGTAAATGTAAATCATTAGTGGCTCGCGGGTTGTTTGTTAATAGTTATACACAATACAATGTATGACATATAGCGTATAAATGCATTAAAAAGCAATAACATGATATTTTTATCTTTCGTTTGCACGATGGCACACGAGTGATCTTATTACACCTTGTTTTTTCCCTTTATTTACAACAAAGAGAGATACAGCCGCTAGAGAGAATATACGCGCAGACGACATAACTATCGTCGCTATCGTCAAATATACTGTACCGAGGAGTAGATATAAAACATTCGTTCGTTCGGCGACGTAGATACGTCATGTCTCTTGATTATTGAAAACCCCTAACGAGTAACGATCCTCCTCACCGATTACAATATAAGGTGATAAATTATTATTATTATTATTTAACAGACCGATAAACCGCAACTGAAAAAATGAATTTAAGATTAAAAATCACAGGCGGCTAATGCTGATAAACTTTACTGTCTAATTATGCAAAGTAAAAATTAATTCTCTAAATGTTATTAAATGACAGGTTTTTACAATACTTTTCTCGTAATTCATTTAAAAAAAGGGTTTTACTTGTGAAATTACAACAATAAAAAAGTAGTATCTGTCTCCTATTAAAGACCTAAATATTAATTTTGAACTGGATTTACCTTTTAATCTTAAACATAGCTATTCTACAAATTAATATACATTTTAAAAAAGCAAGGCGCTTGTAGCGGGATTTTTAACATAAATACTTATAATTTTTCAAACTATATAATAGACTTTTAAACTGCTAATACATATTTTTCAAAAAAAAAATAACATTTGTTTCTAATTTATTTATTTATATAAAGAAATATTTTTAAAGTTCGATGTAAAGATCTAGTTTTACTCACCAGAAGGCATTAAGAACATTTATTTTTTTATTTTTAATAACTTATATGGTCATGTTATTGATTATCCTCAAACATCAAACAACCTAACCTATGTTTTCATAACGCCGTAATCCGTAATAACGAGATCGATTTGATGCGCGATGGTATAGGAACGCATTATTTTAAACGCGATTAGCACTTTTATGATAAATTGATAACCAAAAACGTGAAAGACGAGTGTACACGTTTAATGACAGAATAATATATGAACACGTTCATTACGTATATTATATATACACGCATACATAAAGTTCATTAAACTGCCTGACGATCGTCGTAAAGCAACACAATATTTATAATTAACAAATAACAATATATTATCAACCTCGTCGGGTCTATGTTACAGTAAAAAAAAATCGCTCTCATTCGAATCAATTATGGATTATTCCTAGTAGAAAGTTAAAACGTAGGTATGTACCTATATCTATACTCAAAAATAGCCAATCTCTATACCAGCACATCATTATACTTTTATGATATGTACGTGTTTCTCCGTGAAATAACCACATCACAAATCACATATCTAAAAGTCAATTTCGCTTTGCCATGTGATCGAGTTTCAGTCGTTTTTCGCAGAATACTGCATAAATCAAATCAATCCTTTGACCCTTATGAAAATTCATAAGCTAATATATTTTTCAGCTATAGTAAAAAAACCATATGGTATAGATTTGTATGTATACTTTTAAGTTTCCATAAAATCATTTTATTGCACGTATTAATGTATTAATGAAAAAAATAAATTAAAACATGGTAGATTGGTATTATTTCTTTCATATGAATATCTAAA